TTTTATCACTAAGAGGGGAGGCTCTGGAATGGGGCTGAGTTATGTAAGCGATATGGGATGGGGAAACTGTCCAATCCTGGATGAGATGTGTCAGATATGGAAGATGGATTGGATAGTTCTACCAATCAGGATGGCCCCATGCAAGTCTATGGGAGATAAGTGTATATCAGGGTAGGTTTGGAGGAAGACAGGAGAGAAGATACACCGATCCTGGGGCCCCCATGCTACACCATTGGTAAATATCAGGACATTTCTCTGGCACTTATATGTATACATGATTGTTGTATGTGTTGTCTGTCTTGCTGTTTGTGGGTTTAGGGTATGAATAGTATATGCTTTAATTCATTGGGTGAATCATATACATTTTGTTTCTCTTTTTCTTATTGTTAAATAGATAGATTGTGGTATGTTAGTTTAGACCTCCCTACTATTCACCAATAAATTTTGGTTGTTGTGTTAAACCTTTCACTCTTGGTCAAAGAACTCTCATTAAGGTTAATCAAATCATATCAGAGAAATATTATATTTCATATTCCATAGATTTGGTCAACACTCCACCATTACACAGTGTTGGCTGGCTGGCTGCTGATTGGCTAATGCGATCACATGTCATGAATGAATGCATTATGGGTCAGCGCGCCTTGTCTGCGCGCCTTCCCAGAGATCCCTGCTCCGTCGCCACACATGTCGCCGCCATTTTTGGGAAAATTCGATTCGTGCATCCGAAGTTGGCTAATTTTCGGATTCGGCGCAAATCGAATATTTCCCAATATTCGAAACGAATTCCGCTTCGCCATGTTCGATTCGCTCATCTCTATACAGAACCTTCAAATCAACATTGGCAATACTGTAAACGGCACTATTCGGCTGGATAATAGACTCCCCTGTGCTTTCTCCCAAGAGAGTCACCAGCCCTCTCTAAGGATCCAGCCTTCATCTAGCAATTTCCTCTAGCAGATTCTCCATCCATGGCTCTGGATCAGTAATTAATAACCCCCCCATGTTCTTCTAGCTAGGACAGACTCTGGTTCATTTCTAGGCATCCGTTAGCAAGCATATGTTAGGCCTTCCATAATCTGCAGACCTAATAGGTCAGACACCTCAACAGTACACCTTCCCAGGTCGAAATAAAACATTTTTTCTTAGTTTTTGTTATAACATTTTGTAAATAAGTGATTTTTCTTCTTCACTGATGTGCGCTAATGAGGCTGCAGTGATGGGCACTGATAGGCTGCACTGATAGGTGGCACTGATGTGCACTGATGAGGAGGCACTAGTAGGTGGCACTGATGGGCATTGACAGGCATCACTGATAGGTCCTGAAAGGCAGCACTGATAGGTGGCACTGATAGGCTGCACTGACTGGAACTGATAGGCAGCACTGACTGGCACTGTTAGGTGGCACTGACTGGCACTGTTAGGCTGCACTTATAGACAGCACTGATGGGCACTGATAGGCGGCACTGACGGGCATTGATAGGTGGCACTGATAGGTGACACTGAAAGGCAGCTCAGATGGGCACTGATATGTGGCATTGATGTGCACCGGTAGGCACTAATATGTGACATTGATGTGGCACTGATGGGCACTGGCAGGGGGCATTGATGAGCACTGATAGCTGGCATTAATGGACACTGACAGGTGGCACTGCTGGGGCTACACTGATCATCAGTGCCCTGATGACCAGTGTACATGTCCCCTCCAAGGAATGCCGATTACTGCTCTCCTCGTTTCTCAAGCTGTCAGCATGACAGCTCGTGAGGAGAGAAATGCTGATAACTGACATTACATTATTTACATGCGATCAGCTGTGATTGGACAAGACTGATCACATGACCGAGCTGACATCTTTGGCTCTTTCTGTTGATTGGTGATTCACTGTGTCCGAGGGACACAGCGAACCAACGATCGCCCGCGATGCATGCTCCCGGAGCCACACACACGTGGTTAGAGTGGGAGGACGTCATATGACGTCCTCCCAGAACGAGAGAACCACCTTGCGCCTGTCATTACCTTATATGGCGGGCGGGAGGTGGTCAAAAGCTATAAATGTATAAATTGGATTAATTTCCATTTTTTGCTTAGCTTGCTGAGTTTGCTCAGTGGCAAATTGAACGCCTTCAGTTGACATTGTGCTTTGCTGAGCTTCTGGTGTACCCCTACACCTTTAGCCAGTTGCAGACTCCAAACTTTCTACACATGCCCAAAAAATGTCAGCATTGTACACAGGACATGTGTAGAACGTCCAGTCTTTCTGCGCTGCCCTGTGTATGGCAGTTCAGCTCTGATTAATGACAGCTGCATTGCTGAGAACAAAGAGAAGGTCATTGAGATTGGAGCTGTCAAAAAAGCAGTCTAATAATGTTTATCAACAACATTGCTCAGTCAGGAATAAAAAAAAGATACAAAGAAACATTGTTTTCATTTGTATCGTTCTCTATTCATCTGCACGGGGCGTTTCTGAATGACGGAAACTGACTGCTGGAAAACGTAGGTTAAAAAACATCTGTTTAGCTGCGTTTTGCATAACGCGTTTATGCGCGCGTTTGCGTTTAGAAGTGTTTTTTAAAGATAAGCACAGGAGAACCTCCCAAATGCCCAGAATCCACTGAAAAGTGGTAAATTATTAATTATTTCAGACTGTTTCAGAGAAATACACACAGTGGAAGCAGACGCAGCAGTATGTGTTGACATTAGCTAGGTGTAAGTTGCTCATTAACATTTCTTTTGTTTCCAAGGGTAGGAAAGGTGTTTGGTGGAGTGAGTTTTTAAGGCCACCTGGCTGGAGGTCTTCATGAGGAATAAAAGGTGTGAATGGTCATTAACATATCTTTTGTTTCCAAGGGTGTGAGAGGTCTGAGGTGTGAATTGGTTATTGTGTGACAATGTGTGACAAGCTTGGTAGGAACATCCTGTGTTAAGTGTTTTGTCCATCTGAGCACCTTGAAAACTCTTTGCATGCATTCTTCATGATGAAAAAAGGCTCTGGCCAGCATTGGGAACTGGAAGAGTTAAAAAAAAAATTCAAACGCAAGCGCGCTTATAAATGCGTTTTGCTGCGTTTAGACCCGTTTACAAGCGTTTTGCATTTGAAACGCTGCTAACATCGACATCTGAACGCAAGTGTGTTGCGATCCAAAAAACAACTGTAAACTCAACTGCCTGTAAACGACTGTAAATGAAGATGTGTACATGGACACATAGGAAAACATTAGGGTGAGTTCAGAGGCTGCTGAAAAAAAACGCTGAACAGCTCCTAAACATGAGTTTAGCAGCTGCAGTGTACATGAGCCCTCAAGATCAAAGCGATGAACTTTGATCTGTAGATGAAGTCAGTTAAAGCAACCTGACAAGTAAATTTTTTTTTTAATTGTTCCTTTGTTTAAAACCCTTTATCCAATCTTCGTTTACTTTAAGCAGCACTAAATAGCTCCTTCTCCATCTCCAGTTATAACTTCTATACTGATTTTTGTTGTTTATTTCTGTTTTACTAACGAATAATATTTAAACTTTTTTTTTTTATTTGCTTCGTTCATTAATATTTTTACACCTTTAACATATATTTACACATATCACATTGAAAAAAAAAGCGCAAAATTGAAAATAAAAACAAACCTTTTACTTCATTTGTAAATAACTTTGCAATGCTTTCTACCAGAATCATAATATTACTGTCATTTAAATTGTGGAATAAAATGCAATATTTTTAAACTAACACTGCTAAAAAAAAGAATAAGTGAGTTTTGTTTAGTTTTGTTATGTTTTTTAAGTGTCTAAAGATTGCAAAATAAAAAAAAAATCATTGTTGATAGACATTAGTCATGAAAAGAAAGCCTTGCTTGTACTTAAAAAAAAAACATAAAACACAGTATATGTATTATGTTGTTATCTTAGGTAAAGACAAAATTATCAATGAATAAACAGGTCCATATCAGAAATGTGAACAGATGTGAGAGGCAAAGTGGTTAAGGAGGATTGGACTGCCTCTAGGTAAACATGTCCTTAATTTATCTATTGCTATATATTCTAGAACATGGAGATCTTATTAGACTAGAGTTAGGGATGCACTTTACAGAGGGGCCTTGACAAGGCAGTGTGGCTTCCTCATTTACAGTATTTGAAAATGTTGTGCAGCTAAAACCTCTGATTTAATGCAAATTGTTAGACAGTGTAATGATATTATTCTTTCATCTTTCTTTCTTTTATCGTGTTGTCTTGATCACCAAAATGGCATATGCATATGTTTTGCAGAATAAGAGCTATAAATAATCAAGAGGAATATAAAAAACTGAGTTTTAGCAGCACCCAACAACACCTCATCAGTCACCTCACAGCTATAAATGAATTGTGTATGTGGATGATGGTTATTTATTCCAAACAAAATAAGCCATCTAAGTAGATTAGGTTCTTTTTCCTATTCTCAATTTACTGGGAACCAACATTTATATGTACCAATAAAAAAAAAGTAGTGTGGCCTACTGTTGGGAGTACTCCATAGATTGGGTGATGATTTGTATAGATAAATTCCTACATGACATTTGTTTTAGAGCTACATGCTGCTTTCTGAGAAATTAGGCTTATTGAAACAAACATATTTATATAGGAGAATGAGAGCATCACTGACAGCTGTACAAAGTAAATGACCTATCTGATCATAATTAAACACTGCATATGAAAGTGACCATATTTGGTCAGAAACATAATGTAGTATTATATACATTATTTTAATTGTATCTGCCCTTTCATAGCTCTTCTATTTACTCCTTGCCTGAGTAAATCCACAGTACTTCAAAGTGATTATGCCATATTGAAAAAAAAAATCTGATAGCAGGTATAAAATTCTGGAGCAATAGAAGTGTGTGCAGGATGAGAACAAAGAGGCAAGCTCCAACAAGTTACATGGCAGTAGCGAAGCGTAGAAGAAATTCACATTAAGTCCAACAGGGGAAGGTGATTTTTTTGTTTTTGTTTTTCACTTTAGCATAAAAGTGTCTGTCAAGTTCCTTCTTCCATGCATTACTACTGGTCAGTGTGGCATCTCATCATAGTGATGGTACAGCAGTTACGTGTGTGGTCAGAGCTTGGCTAATAGATCTGACACTACACAGAAGTGTTGGAGAGTAGCCTAATAAGCATGTCCAGCATTTGAGTGAAGCAAAGAATGTTGCAAGCTGTTGCAGGTACATGTCAGCATCTTTCTAATTATGAGTCCTTTTAATAGCATAATGTAGAGACACAGTAACTGACAAAGGTCATTAATTTATCTTTGGAGCCCAGAAGAAAAATACATTAGAAACATAACTATACCAATATACGGTAGTTTATGAAGACTAAAGTACTAGTTTCTAATCCTCTTCAAACTCTGGAATATTCAAAGGAATTTTGGAGAGAAAACCTAAAAAGTTGCTGCTGTGGAACTTATACAGTAGTGCACAGTCCTGAAACTGTTAGTAAAATTTCTCTTTAGTGATGGGCCAAACACTTAAACCTACTGAAAATTTGACCGTGAACTTCAAACTAGGATAATTTACCGAGTAGTATCTTATCGCATCTCAGTATGTAGTAAGATACCGCTCAGCTACTAAAATACTGCATGAGTTATATTATTAAGTCATGCAGTATTTTAATTGTGAAACATTCTTTAACCATTTCTTGACCACCCTATATCAGAAATACTGCTACAGGGTGGCACGGGTGAGAAAAATCACACATATATATGTGATTTTGCATTTCCAGTTAGGGGGCGTGGGCCCTACCCATACTGTTACTCGCTGGTGCCCAGTGATTGCCGAGGATCTCCAACGGGGAAAACTGTTTGTAAATGAAACAGTTCTCCTCCTTGCACAGCACAGCCATCCAAAGCAGTGAAGCACACGGACGCAGGACACACAATTAACCCTTTGCTCACCCCTTATATTAAACCCTTCCTGCCCAATGCCATTAGTACAGTGTCAGTGCTTTTTTTTTTAGCACTGATCACTGTATTGGTATCACTGGGAATGTCAGTGACACCAAGTCAGTTCCCCCCAGTGTCAGAATGCCCGCCGCAGTCCCGCTATAAGACGTTGATCGCCCCCATTACCAGTAAAAAAAAAAAAAAAGGCCCAGTATATATACCACCATTTGTAAACGTGATAACTTTTACATAAACCAAATAATTTACAAGTATTGGAATTTTTTTTAGCAAAGACGTAGCAGAATACATTCAATACATTCAGAATACATAGCAAAAAGTCAAAAATATCGTTTTTTTTCCTCAAAATTGTCGGTCTTTTTTTTAGAGCAAAAAATTAAAAATGCACAGGCGATCAAATACCACTGAAAGAAAGCTTAATTCATGGGAAAAAAGACGTAAATTTCATTTGGGTGCAGCACTGCATAACCGTGCAATTGTCAGTTAAAGTAACGCAGCACTGTAATGCTGGGTAAATCCTCAGGAGGACAAGTGTTTCATGTTTCAGCTGTTAGCGGGGTTCCCCGCTGACAGCTGAATATAAAAAAATTGTTGCCATTGGATTTTTAGGGGAACCCCATATCAATTTTTTTGGGGCATGGGGGTCCCCCCAAAATCCATACCAGACCCTTATCTGGGCATGCAGCCCAGCAGGTCAGGAAAGAGGGGGTGAGCGAGTGCCCCCCGAACCATACCAGGCCACATGTCCTCAACATAGGGGGTGCATTGGGGCAGGGGGAATCCCCCCATGTTGGTGGTGATAAGGGCCTCTTCCTCACAACCCTGGACGGTGGTTGTGGGGGGTGTCCAGGCGGGGGGCTTATCAAAATCTGGAAGCCCTCTTTGACAAGGGGGCCCCCAGATTCCACCCCATTATGTGAATGAGTATGCAGTACCTCTACCCATTAAAAAAAAAAAAAGTGTGGTAAAAAATGATAGTAGACAGTCTTT